AGTGGTTTTGGCTGAAAATGGATTTTTCGTATGGTTACTTTTTATTTGTGAAGACGTTTTTGTCTCGATCCTAAACCGATCCAGAACTAGGAAAGGTGTCATCGTCACTTTCGTCGATCGATCCTGTGGGTCCAAATATAAAAGCTTGGATTTTGTGAAAAAATTGCCGTATATCCAAAACACAAAGACCTGACTTCTGACCATATTTCACTCGAATTTGAGGATTTTTTAGCTACAGTCTTACTGAATAATTTTCGCGATCCGGAACTAGGAAAATGACTGTACCAAAGCTAAATGAACAAGAGACCAAAGGAATTTTGTCTTATGAGGGGGAAGCGCTGTTGATGTACACTTGCATGACTGTATTTGTAACTATCAAACCCTGTCGGCCTAAATGACTTTTGTGTTGAATAAGTAGTGCTTACTGTTTGAATTAAGAATATTTTTGTCAAATAAAACAATATGAATGAAAATTACTTTATGTCGGGATTGACGACGAAGCGAGAGCGGACTGTGTAATATTCCAGCGGTACTGGAACTCCACACGGGGTGCGGTAAGTGGTGATCACGCACACATTGTGCGGTTGATCGGCCTCTTTTTATAATCAAAGCACTAAATGTGCGCTACAAACCCAAAGAGTCAGAGAACCAGTTTAGTTAAGTTTTACACCAAGAAATATTCCGTTTCAAAATTATATTTAAATTATTAAAAGCAACTTGAATCTCCTCAGTGATTCAGCGGAACTGTGGATGAGGAATTGACCAAAAAAGCAGGAATGATGTTTTCTGTACGTACTAAAGCATTTCAAATCTAAGTATTTTTTCATTCGAAAAAAAGGAAATGTTGACAGGTGCAAGTCATAATACAGTCGGCTAATCAAATGTCACTTGTCGAAGTACTTATACATTAAAATCTCGACAACTAACCTCAGGGGAATGGAGTTATCCTGAAAAAGTATTTATTAAACTAAACCATTTCATCGTTGTACGTACCGTGTGGCAAAACTTTCGTATCGCTTAGTCATTTAACAACGTGAAGCGCTGCTATTTTTTTCACTTGGCTCCTTATGTGTGGTCACATGACCTTTCTTGTTACGGTCACATGGCCGCTGCAGTGTCAGCAATTGAACTGCCTGAAAGGGACTACAATTGGGCCCGCGTTATAATCGGTTAGTTTCAGCGTCTTGAAAGCCAGAATTACACAGTTGCAGCTACGTTGATTTATCCAACGTGCTGGTCCTCGTCAGAAAAGAAATGAACTTGCATGACTCCTAACCCTATATAGACTTCCGATTCTTTCAACGCCGTTTGAA